TTGGTGATGTTTTTTTTTTTTTTGTTTTGTTTTTTTTCGGCTTTCGGGGGTGGATGAAATTGGCTGCGACAGTTCTACTGATCATGTGCGGCGTTTAGGGAGGAGTGACAAGATTGATGAACAATGTATGGAAAGTTGGGTACTCCCAAGAAAGACAGCCATCTTGTGCGATCTCACATCTGGTTCGTAATGAAACAGCCCCACTGCAGATACATAGAATGCCGAAGCTTCTTGGATTTGGGGAAGGTAGGATAGTGCGAATTGTTCCATGACGCCGGCGGCATATAGTTTGGAGATTCGGGTTTAAGGCCCATTCGTAGCTTCAAAGCTTTGGGGCAGGTGATTGTCAGAGATATTAGTTCTCCGGAGTTCTGCGGTTTTCCAGGAAAGGCCTGCGATCTGCAACCTTTATTGGCATGTTTGCAAGAAGAAATGCTGTAGCTGCAGAAGCCTCTCAAAACCACGGACATGCTTTCATGCCTTAACTTTCAAAACGCACCAAGAATGCAAACCTGCTTTACCCGATCCATCGAAGGGCCCAACATCAAGTTGGAGTCAATGGGTATCCCGCAAGTAGAAAGGAGCCCCACCGGCTCCCCAACATCTTGTCCATATGAACCCAGAAAGTGCACATGTCCCATCCCTGTTTGCCTTCAGAGGCAGCAGTGGGAGCCCGGTCTCGCCGGCGTGCGTAGGCGCTGGTGGGAAAGCGAACCGAATCTGCTTGTTCAGCCAGTTCCTTCTCAGGGTCTAGAGTCTAGACTTTGTTGTTCACGCGCACCAGGAAGCTTTGGATAAACTTTCGGCTTAAGGACTCAGAGGTTGGGCTGCAGAGGTCGCACTCTGCTTTGCACCGCATGAGCCAATGAAAAGGGAGCCTTGTCCTCAAATCCTTGAGCAACAGCACCAAAGCCTCTGAGCCCAACACCGCCGAACACATTTGAGTGGAAAACTCTTGACGTCAAGATTGTCAAGCACCTGGCTAGAAGTAGTGTTCCCTACCATACCCTCAGCACAGAAGTGCACAATCCCCGATCTCCTGAGTTTGAGTGCACTTGCAGATCACCTCCCACTCCCACTGAGTGTTCAAGCTCTACAATTACATGGGGAAGACTCATTGGAGGACGGGGAGGGTTGTGAGCTCCCACTCCTCCAAACTGAGTTGGAAACGCAAAGCCAGAATCTCTCATCCCCAACGCATTAGAGCAGAACCTTCAATCCTGAAGAAGGACTCCTCGTTCCACTCACTCTGTCCTCACTCTGTCATGTACCTGCCTCTAACTATAACTAACCTGAAACCCACCTGTCTTGAGAACCCTCCCTCCCCGTCTACCAAACCATGGCCCAGATTCTCTCCCGGCGGCCTGGCAAGCGACCATGGAGGAAGCGCAACAGCCATTAAGCGCGTTTCAGCAATCTAGGGGCAAATCAAAAATGTTGCCGAATAATGATCTCGATGGGTTAGGGCAGCGTGGCACGGGGAATGATGTGAAGTAATGTTCGGGCGCCTTTGACAGAAGCCGCTGGCCAATGCTCAATGCAAAAACACACTGATTGAGAGGGAGCCTCCGAAATATGTCACGTTAGACTCCTGTACGTCTTTCTGCCAGGGCCTTTGGATTCACACATAGAGGGGACGATCTCAAAGTTGGCTTGGCAAAGCGCACTTAGCTGCTCATTCCTCAAACGTAGATGCGAGCGCTTCTCAAAATTGTTGGCCCCCTGCAGGTACCCCCACCTCTCATAAGGATTATATAGGGAATTATATAGCGGAGGACTATAATGGTTATTAGGGGCCTGCGAGGCCTGTCCAGGGCAAGATCCACAGGCTGACTTTGCCATGAAATTCAATTGGCAACCGGGCCGGCCTGGGGTAACAAGCCTTCTGAGCTGCAGTTCCGTGTCAATGTGCTGCTTTTGGTTTGGGTGGGGTTCAGCTTCGGCTGTGCGAGTGCTGGCATTCTGCGGCTTCGGTGTTGCGGTTTGTCGTCCCTTTTCGCAACTTAAATGGGCCCTAATTACTCATCATCACCCTTTAAACAAGGGGTGGCCATGACCTAGACGGCTGGTGTCAGGGTCTGTGCAAGCTGTGCAGGCATCGATGGCTTTGGGACAAGCATTGGGGCTCATTTCGCAACGCCTCTGAAATCAGTACAAAAACAAAACTTTGGATAGCGAGCAACATGCTCTTGACAGCCAATTGATCTCTTAGCCCCCAGTATTTGCAGGGGTCTAGCCTTCTATCTTTTTGGGAGAGGCTCCAGAGGAGAGTATAGGCATAAGGCCGCAAGTCCTTCGTGAGACCCTTCAACTCGCTGGAGACGCTGAAGGTCGAAACCCTTCAGCAGCCTCCTGCCCTTCAGCAGGTCCATGGCTAGGGCGGCATGCCGAAGAGCGACGACCTCAGGCGCGTTCCAACGTTCAGTCTGCAGAAGGAAGTGTTTATCCTAATTTTCCGTGAGGATCCAAGTCTACACACTTTAAACATCAAATAATTTTGAGGTCTAAAAGTATACACACGTGATAACTGTCTGCTTGCATACCCAAGACGTCCTTGGAAAGGAGACCCTCATCAAGGCTTCCTAATGTTGTCGAGGAATTCTGTAGGCCTAGTCAGAGACAGAGATATGCGGAGGGTTGTCAAAAGTATGATCCTGTTGACTGTGAACACAACACAACTACTCGGGCCGTATTAAAGTTGTTATTTGATAGCCCGCATGTGGTTCATGTGTACATATATACACGCATAATTATGCACGTGCATATGTTCTCAGAAGGCATGCAATTAACGACTTCAGAGGCTACCCACAAAACCTACACCTGGAAACCTTGGACCCTGATCTGCTCGTCGTAGAACCAAGTCATATCCCAACACAAACCAGTGTTCAACACGTGCATCCTGTCCTTCTGTCCTTTTGAACCAGTGTAAGCCCCATGAATCCAAAAAAAACAGCCCTTCTTGAGAACACTGCGAAGGGACTCACACTTGTTTTAACAGCCAGAAGCAGGCTTCAGCTAAGTTGCATTTCTTCGGCCTAGATGCCTTCTTTTGTCCATGCGCACCCCCTGCCACAAGCCTATCAAGCAACAGTAATTCGGGCACAATCCCTGGAAAGCTATTGAGGTACTACGGAACCACCTCGGGACCCCAAAAACTTCGAGTTTGGCAGGAGGTCTAGGCCGTGTTTTTCCATCCGCCATGCACCACAAGTCAAAAACAGCGAATTTAAACCTTGGCATAGGGACCCTCAAAATGTGAAGCCCAAACCCTATACCCCAACCCCTACAGTGTAGTGATTGGGGTATAGGTTTTGG